TTGGACCAGTGATGATATCTGAACTGGTTTAAAAAAAAAAATTACATCTAAACATTAAGGAGATGCTCTTTCTGCAGAGACGGGCAAAGCCAAAACATTTCTAAAGAACTGAAAGACTAGCGAACTCGATTTAATCAGTGTTCTTATCTGTCATGTCTGAAAAGGCATTTATAGCACATTCGGACTCGGAAGATGTTGAAGTGTGATGGGTGGCAGCTGGGGGAGTTGGGACGCTCAGCAAAGGAGCTCTGTCACTGAAGGACAGGCTGCACTCCAGGGCTGGCCGTGGTTGTCCGTCTTTCTGCAGTGTCGTGTGTAGGATGTTGGTATGGACAGTGTTCATGGAACAGATCATCTCTCAGAAGCACGTTGAAGAGATGAGCAGCACGTACTGTGGAGTTGGTTGGTTTTCCCTGAACCATCACCCACACTTGAATTATGCATTTAAGGCAAAGCACTTGAATGCTTTTGTTCTGTTTACCTTGCTACGCTTTTTGATAGTAGGTAGGATTCCCTAAATTTGTTCCGTCCTGTTGGAATCTGAGTAGGAAGAGGAAGAATAGGGAATAAATGCAAGGTAAAGAAGGCTTCAGCTCCAATCTAAACCTTGAAGTAAAATCATTGTCAGATGAGGTACTTTACTGTTTGGTTTTCTGTCTGTGGTGGAAGAACAATGTCTTTGAAAAACACAGACGAAACATCATAACTGCCGGCTCACCGTCACTGGGAGTTTTGTTGTTGTTGCATGAAAAGTGGCTGCTGTCTCGATTTATTGTGAGAGTGAAATGTTCTATGAAGTTCTCACCCATTCTGTGATACAAGTGAATTTATATTTTGTAAATTAAAATGAATTTAATTATTTTCTGGGCTACAGAGAGAGGTCATACCGTGCTGGTAGTTGGGAGAACACAAGTTTTGGTGGTCCTATCAACTACCAGTGCACCTCGTCTTCTCCTCGTCTCCTTCAGGACTCACAGAAAGCTGCTCTACCTGTCAAACTCAGTTTTCTTCCCTTTGTAGCCTACTGCTGGGAAACAGAATTTAATTAGTGGACACCTGCACTGCTAATGAACTCTGCCTCCTGCTCTCCGTAGGGTCAGGGGACGTGGGCAGTGGGGCCTCAGACATGTATGAACATCTTCTGCTCTGTGTCATGTCTTTTCTGACAGCAACAATTCCTTTGCAATTCAGCTCCTGCAGCAGGTCGTTAACCTGGGGTCAACAGCCGACTGTCTCCATTTAACTTCACTGCTCAACTTGAGCTTCATGTTCAAACCTTGCTGTCTCACCATTGCTTGCTTTCCTCTCAGTTCTTCTCTTGATGGAGGGGTGTAAAGCAGAGACAATTGCTATGAATAATCTAAATCAACCTTTGCCTTTCTACACCTCGCCTTGAGCACGAAGACCACAGTGAACAAAATGAGATCTGGAAGACTCAATAAGGAAAGAGCAAAGCCAACCGTAAAAGTGAACTTTTCTGTAAAATGGTGAAATTGTGATAGTAAGAAGTGCAGTCTCTGAACGGTGCAGGTCACTGCTGGGTCAAAGATGTCTGTTTACCTGGACTAAGGGCTTGGAGCATCGCTGAAGGATTACTGGGCAAGTTGTTTTGTTTGGGCCGCTTGTGCATCACGGATACTTCAGAAAGGCTCCTCGCCCGCTGGTTTGTGCATGTTACATTAATGTCTTTTTATATATAATCTCTTAAGTATTCAAATTGGGCCAGTCTGTTTCTGTCTTGCTTTGGTGGGTATTTTTGTACAGCTGAAGTTGAGATACACGTTAGCAGCTTTGCTTACGCTAGCCAAGTACAAGGTTAATAATCTTGGGGTTTTTCTGGCATTATTTGGAAGCTATAATTCCAAGAATACAGAAATGGAGCAGTTAGTCCAGTTTCAAATACTCACTGCTACTAGAGGATTGTAGATCAATTGTAAACATCTTTAATTTTCTTGGTTTTTGAGGGGGGGGAAATAAGTGATTATAACATAATGAAAAAAGGATGATGTTAGCAGAGTCCCAGGGATAGGTATTGCAGACCTTTTGAGATGGTATACTTAACAGTGCTAAAATGTGGGAGGAATTAAATGGAGAAAGTAGTAGGACCACTGTCCTTTAAAAAGAACAGTATAACATCTCATCTTTGAAAATGAGTTTCAATGGCTTACGCTTCAGAGGGAGTCAGTGTGGCAGCAGGAAAACACTTTCAAAATTGCATAGTCTTGGTTTTCAGAAAAAGGAGATTGAAACTGAGAAAAAGGAGCCAGAGAGAATATGAAGGTTTCCATGTCCAGCTTCTATTTGTTGATTTAATCACAGTTTGGTTTCTTACTCTCTGAACCTAGTTTAAATAGTTTTTACTTACTTGTTTATTCGCTCTTTGCTCAAAAATCTGGAAGGCCATCAGATGCCAAGTCTCTGTCCCTGCTGTCAGAGACGCCTCGGGCTCTGCGTATTTCTGAAGCCTGCATCCCCTGCCTGCTTTCACTACAGGCATCATGAGCTCATTTCTTTCACTGAAGAATCTTCCATTTCAGGGTTATCAGCCTTGGAGAATGTGGTATGTTCTATGACTGGGCAGTGGGGTCTGGGCTGTGTGTGAAATCTGTGTGTTAGTTTCTCACGTTGTAACTCGGTCATCTCTGCCCAATAGGCCGGTTACTCTGTTGAAAAGATTGTGTTGAAAAACCAGAGACAGGCCTCAGGATGTATCTTAGAGTATTTACAGTAAAATTTTGAGCAGAATGAGAAACTGGTTAATACAAAGCAGCTTCTAGGACTTACAGTTTTGGGTAAGAAAGGAAAGGGCAAACGTGAACAAGATGAGAAAGCAAGCTAAGAAATGCAGGTAACCTGCCATAGTCCTGGTGTTGGACATGCACTTGGTGAGATGGTGCTGAATCAAGAGTTGTTCTTCACCCACTGATAAAGTCAGCACATCTGACATCAATAAACCAAACATCCTCTAATTACCCACTCATTCCATAACATGACTGACTTGAAGAAAATAACTGTAATTTTATAAAAACAGTATAGCATTAACATGGAGGTTAATTGCCATCTTCAGCTGCATCGTTGTCTTGGCATGAAATGTTTTTGCCATGTTTCAGCCATGTTTTGAGTTGGGCTCTGGGGTTGATTACTTGGTTTAGTGGAGAGTTCAGGACAAGCATCTGTATCTGCCTTTGATTTTCTTTCCTTCTGAGGCATCTTGGAATGAGGCTTGTACTTTCCTCTACAGTTTCAGAGGCTGAAAGATCGTGCAGAACCGTGCTTTGTTTCACCTTATTTATCTATATAATTCATCTACACAAACGTTCTTTTCATGGGCATGTAGTAAAAAAATGATTGTCACTTAATGCTAAGTATGTATGTGTATATTTATGCATAGAAACTTTCTAAATTACAGTTTTTTTGACACACACAGTACTGAAGAATCTCATTTAAGAGGGGTTTTCTGGATGCTAAGGGCATGACGTGACTTGTGGGGAAACCTAAACCAGTTGCTAGCTTTAGACCCCCGGTCCTTTAGTATCTCTCATGTTTCAAAAGTGTCTCCGTGTGTGTGTGTGTGTAAAGATTCAGAATAGTGTTCATTTCAGAAGTAGCTGTTTTCCCGTTGCTGATCACTAGGGGTATTTTTAGAAGTAATATGGAGTATGCTGGTTGTTAAAGCATATGTTCTGCTTATGCATTAGTAGATTGAAGTCAATATGGCTGGTGCATGCTTTTCTTTCAAGAATTACTAGAAGGCTTTTTTTCCACTTTAATTATCTTTCAAAGAAGTGTAACTAGTATTTGGGAGTCCGTGTGACTCTTTCTGTTTCCATGAAAATGTTCAGTTCCTTTCACAGGTTGAAATCGTGAGAGAACATGAGAAGTGGGCGAAACACTAAATTGTGCTAGAAATCAAGAAACTCTGTGAAATTATGTGTTTTCTAATTGCCTTGCTTAGATATATGTTGAGCAAAAAAGCAAACTAGCTGCACAAGTTGAAGAAATGTCAAATAAACAAACTAGGACATGTGTAGTATTATTACCATCTGACATATTTCAAACACTGATTTTACTCATCCGTCATTCTTTATATCTGCATGTCTGGCGGTGCATGCATTTATATTTTATATAAAGGGTAGAGTCTCTAGTCAGAGCATTTGAGTTATGCTGTTAAAAATAAATTAAGGAACAGCAGGTGAAAATGATTCCTACACATGAATATTCAAACTGTACCTCAGTCAGATACTGCAAAAAGAATAATAAAGAGCAACGAAATTTCGGTGGGGCCAAAGCGTTGATGTGATCTGAAATAAAAGTTTTATTGGCACAAGGTGGAGATGACTCAGAAAACTTACTCAAGGAGTGGCATGATCTGCTCGCATGCCCCATTACCAAAACATTCAAGAGTCTAAAAAATGGAGAGGGTGGTGGCACTTGCGGTGTTGGAAGTCTTGCAGTCAGGCTCTTCGTCTTTGTTCTTACACTCTTGCGCTTTAGTTTCCGAGCAGGATGGGTTTAGGGCTGGCAGCTTAGGGGCTGCGTAGCTAAAGTGAAAGCTGAGAGACTTGAGTTTGTTCCTTCTCTGTCAGCCATTTCCGATGTAATTGCATCACTTGAGGCAGGACTTGGCGAAGTGTGTGGGCACTTCAGGTACACCATCATCTTTCTTTTTTCAGTAAGAGTGAAGAAAGTGTGACTTTCAAACTACTTCACTGATGGGAATCATGCTGCCATTGTCGAATTCAGTGAGGTTTCACAGGAATCGGGAGGATGACCACTGTTCAGGGCCCTGTGACAGGGTACTTTCAGAGAAGATGCGGGAGCCAGAATACGTTTGTGCAGCTGACATTAATTTCTCTATCCCTCGTACATTGCAAAGACAAGAACATTCATAACTGTGAAGTGCTTAGATACTCTGGCAATATGGAAGAAAGCATGTTAATGGATGGCTGACTTCTTTTAATGTCAAGTTATTTATTGTTTTTTCTTTGCTTGCTTCACAGATCCTGTCCATGGACCACAAAACGTAGAAGTTGTTGATATTCGCTCCCGGCAGCTGACCTTGCAGTGGGAGCCCTTTGGTTACGCGGTGACCCGCTGCCACAGCTATAATCTCACAGTCCACTACCAGTATGTGTTTAACCAGCAAAGATTCGAGGCAGAGGAACTCATCCAAACTTCTTCCCACTACACCTTGCGAGGTCTTCGGCCTTTCATGACTATCAGGCTGAGGTTAGCCCTCTCTAATCCTGAGGGCAAGATGGAAAGTGAAGAGCTGGTTGTGCAGACAGAGGAAGATGGTAAGTTATGTCAGGTTTACTTGCTTGTTTTTCGGGGGGAAGATGAATATTTTGAAGTTGTAAATAGCAACATAATGCTCTGTCCCATGAGACTTATGAATGGCTTCTCTGGACAGTGCGTGTGTTATGCAAGTAAAATTTGTAGGTGCAAATAATTTCCATTTCACAGCCATGTTCTTGAAAAGGCCAGGGCTCCCTGAAGTGCTTGGAAATCATGAACGTCAACCTGAGCAGTGACTCAACAGCAGCAGGTTGAATTCTATAGAAGTCGTTTTCTGAACTACCCAGGACCCACAGCACAGCTTTCTTTATCATATGGGCAAATGTAATCCTGATTTTTCTTGTGCCTTCACATCGTTGTTCCAAAAAGAAGTATCATGTCGTCCTTCCCAGAGTGTAGCTTTACTTAGTGCTGGTCTTCTAGACGTAGCATTTTATATACATCTCAGAAGCTAAATTCGTTTGGTGGTAACTCTTCCATTTTTGTACAAAAGAACTGTTCTCTGGAATTACAGATGGAAAGCTTTAAAGTGTTGTTATCCCATCTGAGCTATTTCAGACCAAGGACTCTAGTAGACTACAAGCCTCCATCCTATCTAATGCCTTACAAATGAAGTGTTCTTGCACTGCCAGAGTTGTAAGGAGCTGCTGTCCTGGGTTCCTCTCATCTGAAGGTGGCTCTAGCAGTCCAGTATATCATACGGGTGATGTAAGAGGATGACAGATCTTTCTGAAGAATCAACAGTCTTTTGTCAGACAGGCTTGGGAGTGCATTTAGCTAGTTATCTTCCACAGCATTAAAATTTTGCTTCAGGAGGTGGATTTTTTTAGCTGGCCTCTTAGCCTTAATGAAATATAAATCTTACGTTGTTACTTTACTAAGGAGGTCAATCTTTCATATTGATAAAGGTATACAGCCCGGTAGCATCTTTATGCCGAGATGCAATCTGGTTGTTTAGGTGGCTGGAGCTTTGCTGTTGTTTGAGCGGAGAAGGACAAATTAATTTCCTTGCCACAGCTATGCTGTACTGGAAGAAGGAAGTACTGAAATTAGCTTCATGTTTTTATGGATTCTGATTTCATTTATCATTTAGCAGTTAGATTAGGGTATTCTTATTAGAACCAAAGGTGATGAGTAGCCTGTTCATCTTGATAGTACCTGGGTAATGCTAATACCTTGAGGGATTTTTTTTTTTTTTAATTGTATTGCTTTAATTTTGTTTTATATTCATCTCTGAACTTCCTGTCTGGTGGCCTCTTGGTGTCTTCTGAAGTGTCTGCAACTGGAGCTGGTGGTACTTCTAACACAGTTTTTTGGGTTGTTTTTTTTTTCCCCTATAGTTCCTGGACCTGTTCCCTTGGAATCCATCCAGGGAGGACCTTTTGAAGAGAAGATCTATGTTCAGTGGAAGCCTCCAAATGAGACAAATGGCATCATTACACTCTATGAGGTGAGGAGAACAGATTGTTTTCTAGGAATACATGCCACAGGGCCCTTTTCGTATGTGTTTAAGCCAATCCTGAGCTCTGAGAGATTTCAGCAGGTGCTAAAAGAAGCCTGATTAAAATAGATAAGGATTGTCAAGATAGTCTGCTGCTGTCACTGACAAAGTTTTCCCGTTCAAAAAAGAGAAAATATTTCTTTACCATATTTGTGGCAAAATGAGAGTCATATATTTCACCATGTCTCAGGTGTTCAATGCCTGCCCTTTTTTCTTCTGCAGTATCTCTAAGGTCTGTTTTCTTTCCTTTTTTTCATGAGGTAAACTTCTGTTAGGTTTTATACCTAAATACTGCAACTAATTCCTTTCTCTTTCCAATAGTAATAACACTTTCTGGCTCTCTCAGCAGAATATAGCCATTAAGTCTTATCTTACAGTGTTCTTACTGAATCTTTCAATGATGCGTCTATCCAGCCTAACCACTTTCCCCACCACCCAGCAAATTATCCAGCAGGTTATAGGATGATCACTGACCATCCTGTGCTGGATGAAAAAAGAAATTAAACGTGATTCTGGAGCTTAGCAAAGCAGATGTTGTTAAGGTAAGGAAGTGTTACTGTTGTCACGTGCTTCTGGTGAGGCTGTATCCATAATGTCATGTGCACCCAGGTATGCAGAAAAGAGATAGAAAAGGAGGACTGCTTTAGAGAATTGTGAGAAAGGAGAGTCAGTCCTGTAAGACTCGGTAAGGGTGCTTTTATTAAGTATCAGAAAGTGATGCGCCGGTGCTGGCTGAGCATTTTTCAGTTTTGAAGTTCAGCATTTGCCACAGTAAGATTACAAAAAGTGGAAAAAAACTTTGCTTTTAAGGTGATTTTAAAATCTTCACTGTGGGCCTGTGCAGCATTTTCTGATACAGAGGGGCAAGAACCACTTTTTTGCTTTCTCTTTTATGCTGAGAGGATGTTCAGACTTGTTTCAGAAAAGGCATGGAAGCGACTCTGCCTTCGCCAGTGAGGTTCTGCTCCTTCCCTCTTCCCGTCCACCTTCTTGGTTTGGAGCAGCATGTCTGATAACATCTCAGTCCTAGATCTCCTTGCTAGCGCTGGCTGTCTCTAACACAGTGCAATGGAAAAAAATCAAGCAGGTTTAACATCAGTGAGCTCTTGCACTACAGCACGACCAAGAGATGGCAACTTTCTCCTGGGCTTAAATGTAACTGTGCTTTTAGGTCATCTCTCCAGCTGGTTCACAAAAGGTAGATGGAATTTAATACAGCAAGACTAAGTAAATGAATAGAAGTTCCTCTTGCTAATTTTGTGTCGTTTCAGCCAGGATGAGAATCGTTGACGAAAGGAAGGAGTCATTTTTTGTTGGTTGTTGTTGAGAAACTTGTGGATATCTGTGCGGGTTCATCCCAACTGTCTGTACTAGAACAGAACTAACCCTTGCTATTTCATGTTTTTCTAATGTGTACTACAGGCTGTCCTGCATCTGTGTAAGGAACTATGCAGTGAAGTTGTCTGTATTTTTAAGGAATTAATCTGAATAGAATCAGTTGCAAAGTCGTTAGATTTTGGCAACACAGGTGACCTATAGTGGAACACATTTAAAATAATCCAAGTCAAATGATGCAAAAATAACTGCTTTTAATTTTTAAAGAGGCTGTTTCCTACTAAAATATTGCCTTGGGCTCAGCGCATTGAAAGGACTTCAGCAATCGGTGTAGCTTTTCTGGCTGAGCAGCTGCACAGAGATACTTTAATGCCTCCAGGGTGGTGATACATCCTGACAGTGCCCTTGCCCCTGGAGTCAGATCATTGCTCAAGTCTCAGTGGAGGCACAAACAGATTTTTCTTTTCTGATAATGATTCTTTTCATATTTGGCAGTTGAAGCCAAAGAGAAGTCAAGGTGAATTCAAACTCTTCCTCCTTTTGCTCTTCCCCCTTGTCTACAGAAGGATGAAAATCCAAGTGTTAAAAACACCAGGAGAGCCAGAGTGCCTGCGGGTTGTCACGAATGGAAATATTTTCCATTCCTATCCCTTCTTACATGTGAAAATTCCTACAGAACATTCCCATTCTCCATGGCACCCTGAGACAAGTTCATCAGGTGGAGATAAAAATACAGATGAGCAGTTACACACAGCCTGGAGAGATGGCCAGAGCATTCTCAGGGTAGTTGTCAGGCGACTGAAATCTGTATCACAAGCAAATGTGAGTGCAAGTAGCAGGAAACCCTGGTTTTGAAATTGCTCAGTAAATAAAGTACAGGTATGTGCACAGAAACATTTTATCCTGCTACTTGCAACTGGAGTTTAAACTTCCTAAAAATACTGAGAAACGTCCAGTATTGTCCATGTAGTTGCATCATTTGTATTGCTTGCTTAATCCCTAGCCTAGTACAGATACTTTAACCTGCACCGTTGTCTCTACTAGTATTATTTCAAGATTTCATGCCATGTGTCTAGCACCACAGTAATTCCTCGGTAGTAATGACCTGCAAAGTGTTATTTTAGACAGGGGTCAGCCATTTTTCAGTATCATCATGGCCTTACCCAGCATTAACAGAGTTTGGCTGACAGTACCGATCCAGGTAGAAGCAGAAGGTATTAACGACGACAGAAGAAAAAAGGTCAAGCTATGAACTGGTGCAGTGCTGCTGTAATGAGGTCTCTGTCGGGAGCACGGTTCCAGATGGCCCTGTCATCCAGACGAGCCGGGAGGCTCGGGGATGGTCTGGCCAACGCGCAGCTTTCTAGAAACACTGCAGCTGCATCGCTGTCGTTAGGGAGAAACAAAGCCCAGAACCTACCAATGCTTATTGAAGAAAAATTTCCTGCAACGTACAGATCAAGAAATACCACCTCATGAGTTTTAGCTAGGGGTGTCAAGTTGTGCATTACGCCTGGAAGTAACTGGCTGGATTCGCACGTAGGTATCGTGCAAGTGACAGTCTCGCAAATTCCCATGGGCACAAACCCTCCTCCTTCTCCTAAGTGATAGTTCCCTCCTGGATACTGTCTTTTCTTCCTAGTTCTATTAAAAAACGTTGTTGCAAGCTTCTAAAAGGCTTCCAAATAAACACACTGTCAATTCTACTTACATCTCACTTGCTTTTCCTTGGGACAGATTTCTTCTCAGATCCCAAACCATTCTTTCAGTTCCCTGCCAGGCAGACTTCCGTGGTGCACAAATTGCCGATGCAGTTTGCTCATGCAGTGCTGGCATACCAGCTGGGCTGAAATTCAGCAGCACAACCTTCCGCAAGTCATTTAGCAGCCAGAATCCCTGATTTCATAGTGACTGAGTACTTCTAAAGAGCCTAAACAAAATGGAAGGACCTTAATGACCCTTTTTGACTTATGCAAGTCTCTTCTGATTGATATTGGTCCTTCAGGCTGCTATTGTAATCTTTTAATAAAGGTGGCAGTAGCCTTGCATTTGAAAATGGTTTTAAAACCCCCTGCATTCAATTGGAGAAGTAATTGTTTCACTGGGTACAGGCACAGCTGGATTTTTAAACAAAGGAACCTTCTGGATCCCTAATCAGTCTGTAATTGCAGTCTGCTTCTAGGGAGCAGAAAGCTCTTGTTGAAGGGAACTGGGAAGGCTCCGGGAATTGCGAGTCCATTAATTGGTATGCTGAGAAGATGAGGATATGAGCGGTGTAGAGAGCGAGTGACAGTTCAGATCATTCTGCAGGTGTGAGGGGAGCACACCAAAGCAGCTGATCACACGAGTGTGTGCCGTGTTAGTAGGTGTGGGTTGATCTGCCTGGTCAAGTAAGCCATTGGGGAGATGCATGGGCTGCTGTTGCAAGCCGTGCGACAGATAAAGCTGAAGACCTCTAGCTATAGTCAAGTCCCCAGGTAGCTTCAAGGTGTGTAGGTACTTACAAGAGACAAGGAGATCAGTCTGTGTTCAGAAACACAGCTGAACAGCCATAATGGATTTTGCTGGTGTGTTGGTTTGGATAGAATCTCTACAGTGACGTTTTTGCATGTGACTTTCATAAAAGAGAAGTTATTAGAGCTGTCTCTTGCACTGAGCTGTAAGTGGCAGGATCTAATAATATTGTAATAAGTCCTGTCACCTCTTCAGTCTCCTGGCAGACTGAAAGCACCACAACTTGTTGATTTTTTTTTTATTTATTTTTTTTTTACCAGTCCAGAGAAGCTGCTATGCTTTAAAATCCCTAATAATCAAATGCTGCTTATTGTGCTTATGCTATGTGGGAGTTCAGCTTCAAAGCCTTTGTATACAAAGATGTGCAACAAAGGGTTTTTATTTTTTATCGTAAGTGTATGTAAAGTCAAACCACCATCAAACAGCAGAAAAACCTATGCTGTTGTTGGAAGAAGCAGTCTGATTTAAGGTCATGGACCAGCTTCGGCACTTCAGTTCCTCTGCTTTTAGATGATATGAGGTTGTCTCAAGTGTTGGTTCCATAACCCAAATTGAAGTCCTTCAGATATATGTGTGGACCAAGATGCTTTCTGCAAACTTGCATTTAATTTTGAAAATGTAAATAACCATAACTTCTTTATATCTGTATTTCACTGTTTGTTTGGGCAGCTGGAAGCTTGTGGGTGCACTCAGTGAGGTTGACTTTCACCTTTGTAAATATGTTTTTCATCTATAATCTATTTCTCAGAATTGTCAGGTTTTAGAATACTTTGCCCTTAAGGACGAAGAAGGACAAAAAAAATACTGACCATTCCTATCTAAAACCTTTGTCGCATGACTTGGGGGAAGGCATTGTTATTGGGTCTTACAATCCCAGAAGCGTTTGAAGGATGGCTACAGCATCTTCAGCTCCTTGGCTGGAAAAATGACTCGGACTGTTGAAGTCCTTTCAGTGAGCCATGCCTAAAGGCTTCAATAGCAAGCTGTCTTTTTAAACATTGTAAGGTGTAGTCTTGTAATCACTGATGTTCTCATCTTTACGATTATTACGTCCCATGTGGGTTGCACATGGATCTTGGGAAAAATAAGGATGCATTTGC